TCAAATCTAATTGGTTTGTGGTTCAATTGAGGTCAAAATATTTTTTTATTCTAATCTCACCCAAATTTTGGAAAGTCCAACTCTCCCCTCCCCCCCAATGTTTTAAATTGGTGTCATTTAATCTTCCCAGACAATTTTATACTAGCTTCTATTTGGTGGATCCCAAGATTCTCTTAAAAACAAATACAGAAAACCCAAGCTTGATTCCATCCATTGTTTGATTGTTGTACTTGATTCAAGTAGTCAAAAGTTCTTCATTAAATTCCTTTGTTGTTTGTACCATCTTCCAACTTTGAAAACATTGATGCCTAAGTCTCACTAAATTAATTAGCTTACTTTTCAGTTCAGATGTAGAATTTGTGTGTGTGTGTGTGTGTGAGTGAGAGAGACTTTGTGTTTATAAGCATGTGAAAAAATAAAAGAGGGAATAAATTTTTCAAAAGCATGTTTTCAATAAGTGGACCATTATACCTTGAGAATGTTGGGAAAATGGTTGTCAACAAATGATCACAGATCTTTTATAAGGTAAAGCACAGAATGCTGAATTCTGTGTCAATTCTGTGTGAAATTTTCACAAGAGTAAACCCTGTCTTTAACATTATGATTTGTTCTGGAGAAAACAACTTAAACAACATTCACCTTGCTCATTTTAGAGTAGGCTGAATGTTGCATTTAAACAAATGAATGGAACATGTTTTTGTCTTTTTTGAAAAGATATGAAGTCATGTGAAACAGAAATAGTTTAAAGAATTTTAGTACACTTGAGAAAGAATAATATTTTTTTGTATTCAGAAGAATCAGGGTTTCTTGCTTTTCCCAATACAATTCTCCCTGTAGTTTCAGAATATAAACATCCCAGTTTTATTGTGGACACATATTTTATTGAACTGTGCTTTTCAGAGGAGCAGTCCTTGACTTATGACCATTACTACCTAATAAATGTTTGAAATTAGGATGGATCTTCCCAGAGGAACTTATGATCTTTGGAGTAAATCATAAGTACTCCAAAGTAGGTATTTGGGGGCTGCAATAGCTGTGCATACCTCTGTGTTCATGTGGTTGCATTTTTGACACTTTGGCAACTGGTTTACCATTATGGTCATTTCTTACATCCCATAGTTTGTGACTTTTTTTTGCCAGTTTCCAGTGCTTACTTCCAATTTCTAGCAAAAAAAAATAATTGGGAAAAAAATAATTGGGGTTTTGCTTAAGGACTACTTTCCTTAACAACTACTGCAAAAATGGCTAAAACTTCAAATCTGGTTATGTGATGCCTGCACTTGTGACTGTAATGACTTACTGTATGACTATAATTCTGGGCTTAATTATGGTTGCAGGTTGAGGATTATCTGTACAGCTCTTAGAATTGGTACAGAATAAAATGCTATAGGTTCTCCTGCTTGACTAGAAGATTTGCAAGGTCCCTTCCAGGTCATTCCATTCTAAATTCTAAATTCCTAGTCCAAATTCCCAAATGTCTCAGAATTCTCAGGATGGTAATCTCAATATAGTTGAAAGATGGTAGGCTGGAGAAGAAACTGAAGCCTTATGTAAATTAGCGAATGGAATTTTAATTAACTAAAAAGAAGTGCCATTATTGTTGGGCTCCGGGTATCCATATGTCCATCCTGGAGCATGACATATCTGATGGGGCTATCGGGGGGCACCATGCAGGTCCAGCCGACAACGCCCCTACCAGTTTCCCGGAGAGAGGGGGTGAATCGACCTAAGATCCAGCAGTTCCAGTGGACGCTAATAGCCATCTGGGGATATGGATGCCGGAATATGAACTGCTGGACATGGACATTGGGGAGATGGGCATTGGAAAATCAAGACAAGATGGGAAGAGGGGGGAAGGTTGGGAGACATAAGGAACAGTGAAATAGGGTAAGGTGCAGGGACATAGGCATGGGGTATGCTCCGGAGATGAGTGGAAGACGACGTTTAGCTGTCTACTGGAAAGCTACCAATTCTGGCCATACTACCCTGAATGCACCCGATCCAGTCTGATCTCGGAAGCTAAGCAGGGTCAGGCCTGGTTAGCACTTGGATAGGAGACCGCCTGGATACAACAATTTCTCAGATAATCAAAATTGTGTAGCAGCACTAAAAACAATGCATAGTTTTAAACCCTATCCATGTCAGTTCTTTGTTCAGAAATGTAGTTTATTGTACAGTTAACTATAGTTTACATAAACAAGAATGGCATGGAAGTAAGATTAAGTCATGGAGTTTAAAGCCTTAATTTTTGGGTGGAAAATAATAGAGCTGCCAATCTTGATTTGGGAATCCTTCTAGTGTTTTATAACCGAACTATTGCTATAGTTTCATATGTTGGCAAATTCGTATTTTTAAGACACATTTTTTCTATATGATTTATAATTGAATCAAAGAATAATGGGGGGAAAGTATTCTAACACTGACAACTATAATGAAGAATTAAAAAAAAAGAGAGGAAGGAATAGATTTGTGTCTCTATTTGTGCCTCACCACCTACACTTGCTTCAGTGATATATTACATAATGGACATGCAAAATTTGAAATACTTAAGGTTACCCCAGATTGTCTTGGCAAGTTTGTCATCCCACAGTTCACTTTTCACATACAATTTCACAGATTGTATGCCAAATTCAGCGTTGGGATGCTACCGGTTCTGCCCGGCTCTATAGAACCAGTAGCTCTGAAGAGCAGCAAACACGGAACCGGTTCTGTGTCTGCTGCTGTTTGGCCCACCCGCCTGCCCGGGCTCTTACCTGACCTTTATTTCCTGCTTTTTCAACCTCAGCTGCTTTGCGTGGCATGGCTGAGGTTGAAAAAGCAGTAAAAAAGGCATTTTTCAAACACTGCGCACCTGCACGCAGCGCTTATCAGCTGTCTGGGCGGCACAGCTTTAGGTGTATTGCACACGTGCGCAGTGTGCGTCTGGTGCAAAATGTAATCACCAAACCAGTAGTAACACCGGTTGAATCCTACCCCTGGCCAAATTGATTTCATAGCAGTAAGAAGTCAGTATCACTAAAAGGGACCTAATCACATTGTTTTGGCTTTTTAATGTGTGAATGGTAGGAGTGATATAGATATGACAGGCTTCTGACAAGCATGTTGCTTAAATTCAGCTGCAGAATGGCCAAGCTTTAGCAGCATGGTTTTAAGATTGGGGTGATGGAGATGGAAGTCCTTTTGGGAATGTCCTGCTCCCATTCTGATCCTTAATTTTGAAATACTGTATCCTTCCCTGCCCCCATCAGAATATTCTAAATCAACAATTATACAAATAAATATCAGGATGGCAATCAGGATGTCTGATTTTGTATAATATATGAATCCGTATTTATTTTCTTTCCATACATTATCAGTTGACTGCTTAAACTTTATTTTGAACAGCATATGATTTGCCTGATTTGTCCTTTGAAACTATGCATTATGACTTTGTTGATCATTTTTGCAACTGCTAATGGACGAAATCTTTGCTGTATTGGGAACCATGCCTTTCACAAGGTCTGCTAAGGAAATGTAACATCCATATAAACAAGTCTTCTTCAACTTAGGGGGTCTCTAGAAATTTTGGTTGGGAATCTTTGTAGTCCAATACCCCTAACACAGTAGGATCAAAAGTGGGGTGATAATTAATAAATGATCAGGCTACTTTAAAAGAAGTACATTAATAAAATTATGATAGTTATAAGGCAGAATTACTATAAATTTGGAATTGCACTCTAATCCTTCAAGCCTTAGTTAGGTAGTTCACATGTTTAAACAGAGAATAAGAGTGAACCATAACTTGCAAATTTGAATGTAAAAGAAAAATATGCTTTGGGGTATTGAAAAAAAAGCAGCAACAACTAATTGAGTTGGAATATGCAAAAGGAGATAGAGGAAAGACAGAACAAATTAGCACTAGCCTTATTCTTTATCTGTTTCTTTGAGTAATCATAGTTTCCATTTTAGTTTTAAAGAAAAAATGTATTTCTATTGTGCTGGCTGCATAGGAAAGATTTAAAACCTCTGGCAAAGGAAAACATGGGGAAAATGTCAATTTTCTCATAGCTATAGCAATAGCATTTAGACCTATATACCATTTTACAGTGTTTTACAGCCCTTTCTAAGCGGTTTACAGAGTCAGCATATTGCCCCCAACAATCTGGGTCCTCATTTTATCAACCACGGAAGGATGGAAGGCTGAACCAACCTTGAGCCTGGTGAGATTTGAACTGCTAAATTGAACTGCTGGCACTCAGCAGAAGTAGCCTGCAGTACTGTATTCTAATTACTGCACCACCATGGCTCAAATAATTATTTCTGTGCCATATTACTTAGATGAAACATCTTTTACATTTGAAGATAGTACAAAATATATCTGTAGAATAAGAGAAGCATGTCTATTAGTAATTATTGTCCCATAATTATCTTAAGGCAATTAGTTGAACTATTCTGTCTCACCCAGAAGCATGTGAAAATAATTTAGCTTCTTTGTACTGACTCAGAAAATAGTAGAGTATGAAAGTCCCTTGACTTCAAACTACAGCAGGTAATAGATAGTAATAGGTAATTTAAACAATCCATGGAACCCTAATACCTCTGAATTTGAGTATCCACAGCATTATGCTGTTTTATTGGCTGAATGATGGAGTTAATATTTGCAAGGACCAAAATGCCAGTTCAATAAATACATTATTTTTTCTTCTTTTTATATTTATATATATATATTTATATATATATATAAAACATGTATATAACATGTATATTTTACAGACCCCATAGCAGTATGGGAAATAAAGATCCTTCTACAAAAAGAAGATGTTAAGTTAATGTACAAAATAAAGCTTTAGTGTTTTTTTTTTAAAAACCCATCTGGGCAAGAAAGTCTTATACCAGTTAGTAGTGCTAGCACTTCTTAGCTTGAAAGGCCCAGGTAAAGCAAGGAATTGAGAAGATATATTATCAGGTGAATGTTATCTGCTTTCCCTTTTTGGATATTGCACCTCAAAGACCTTCTTTTGTCAGGAAGGATTCAGTAGATCTAAAAGAACATAAGCCATTGCTGTGAGCACGGAGACAATGCAAAGTGATGCTATGGTGCTTTCAAAGGCACAGCTTTTGAGGTGATGGTGGAATGCAAGGTCTGGGTGTGGCTGTTGCTCCACCTGGTTTGAGAACCAAATAGATGGGTTGACAGAGATGAGTCCATCCGTCATTCTGATATCAGAAGGCATGGTGGTTGTGCTACAAAAAAACACACGAAGAAAATATTATTCCATTTAATTCTGTTCAGGTGAGTTGGGAAAAATAAATAATATTTTGGATATTCATTCCATTTTAACTGGTGCAGAGTCAAATAAAATAAAGAGTACCAATAAAGGAGAATATTTGTAGCTCAGGGTTGAAATAAAGGGTCCTTGGTGCTCTCTGAGCTTGCTTGTTTTCTTGCAGACGTTTCATTACCCAACTAGGTAACATCATCAGTGCTAGTGAAGATATTACCTAGTTAGAGTAATGAAACATCTGCAAGAAAGCAAGCTAGCTCAGAGAGCACAGCAAGGACTCCTCAAAATAAAAAGTCTCACTAATCTTTTGAATAAAAAAAATGGCCACACATAATTACTTTCCCCTCATAGTTGTCACAGGGAAGGGGTAATATAAGAAATGACATTTTTTATGTTTAAGATAGAAATAAACAATACAGTCTACTGTGGCAATGGAAAAAGTCATCCTTTAGTTGAACTCAACTCCTGCTGACTGAGGCAGTTTTCTGGCAACAGTGGGTAGTGTTTTTTGTGCTTCTTCTTCCTGATGTTATCTACAGATCTGGTTTGTCATGGTTCAAATCAAGTCCATATATGTTCTAATCAGGTTCATCAGAATGAAACTCTGCTACATTCTGCCTTCTGTTGGCATGAAATAATCTTCATTTGCACTTCATTTGCAATAATAGCAGTGTCATTTTTTTAATTCCACAAAAAAACCTCTTCAACAATCTTTAATAGCAGTATCCTGGCAGTGTTTACTTGAATAATAGCCCCTTTCCCTCAGCAAATACAACTGTATGTTAAACTATATGAGGGACATGGGAAAGAGTTGAAGAATGCATTTGGGAGAAACTTCAGAGTAAAAAGAAGAATTAAGAAACAAGATAGGTCATAAAAAGAAACAAAATAGAGAAAAAGGCTTAGAGTTTTCTCATTTGCAAATTCATCTGAAAATTATGTAGTTATGGTTTTGACATTGACTATTTGGCATTTCCAATGGAAAGGGGATTGATTTTAAATTTTGTCCCAGAAAACACCTAGTTTTTTCTTAGCACAGCCCACAAGCGTTTCAATAGAGGTCTAGATAGATCTAAAACTATCATGTGGGGTCACTAACATTATTATTTTTGAGATACTCCAGATGAAAAAGACCCCACACCTTTCAATAGACAATAGGTCTGTTCTTATTGAACATACTTTGCCAAAACATTCCCTCCCCCCTTAGCTAGATTATGAAAATGAAATACTACTGTATATATTTGAAAGATAGTCTCCACTGACAAAAACTGGTGCTTAGATTTACTGTTTCAGACAACTGCAGAGGGGTGAATGCCTTGAAAAATCTAATAACTTTTGAAGCATGTGCTTGGAATGATTATTCCATCTCCAATCTAATGAATTAAAGATGTGAGAGGGTTTTTTTTTAATTTGGCAAAAAGAATTTCATCCTTATTAAAAACAGTCTGTCAGGAAATGATAGTTCATTCTTTGTAATAAAAAGCAAAACAATTCTGAAGTTGCTACAACTGCTCAGGCTGATGGGGCTGAAAAATATCGTGGATTTTCATGAAGTGCCTGTGTGGTCCTCAGACAACACAGAACAACGTTAACTCTCCCTTTTGCCCTCCCAAAAACACTTTGATTCTTTTTGTAATATTTTGGAAACATCTCTTTACAATACCATATAATATGACTTATTACTACAGTGGATCCCAAGGTTTTCCAAACAATCAACCCAATTTTTCATCCAAGTCTCTGCTTTGAGAGTAGACTCTTCCTGTATGTATCATTTAGTTTATCAATTTTTCTCAGCTAGACAAGGCAGAAGGAATTCTGGATAGGTATAAAGTCTGGATAGTTAAAAGACTGTCATACAAAAAGGTCTAACTGCATTCCCTAACTGACTGACATCTCTGAGAGGCACCATACGGGGCAAATCTCATCCCTAAGCAGAGACAAAAACTATTTCACTATGAAGTTATTTAAGGCTACTTAATTAATATGAAGCTAAATGACTATATTTGGAAACACAAGTTGAAATGAGCTTCAAATTCTGCTATTGTAACAGGAGTTCTGTTCACAGATCTTTTATCTTTCTCTTATGTGGGAGTTAAGGAGTATTTGGCTGTCTTGGCTGTGCATATTCTATATTATTATCTTTTTGCAACAGCATAAACTTGAGGCAAAAAGCAAATTTGATAAAAAGCCAATTCTCAAGAGCACATTTCCTTCTTGTTCATTGCTCAGAAGAGGTGTTTAAATGGGACAGACCTTGAAGAAACAATGTATTCTTCTCCCCTTAGATTATTAGGAATTATTAGCATTCCAAATAATCTAAGAGAGTTGAACAAAGCTTTGGCTTTGTTCTTTATTTTGTCTGCCAAAGCCCACAGCAGTCAGTTGTGGCCCTGAAAATTTTGAGAATCCTTGTGTTGTACAGATCAAAATTTCATTTTTAAAATGCTGATTTATTGCTAGGATCTAACTGAAATGATATCACTAATGTTATTCATTGGAAGAGTTTTTTTATTATTTGTTTGTCAAACATGTATAAGATAACAAGTATAAGTATGAACATGAACAAAGGAAGTAAATACCGATAAATGGGGACAGTAGGACAGGGACAGTAGGCACGTTGGTGAGCTTATGCACGCCCCCTTTAAGGACCTCTTAAGAATGGAGTGAGGTCCACGGTAGGCAGTTTGTGATTGAAGCTTTGAGGGTTTGAGGCTGTAACAATGGAGTCGGGTAGAGCATTCCAGGTGTTAACTACTCTATTGCTCATATTTTCTGCAATCAAGTTTGGAGCGGTTTACCTTAAGTTTGTATCAATTATTTCCCCGTGTATTATTGTGGTTGAAGCTGAAGAAGTTGTTGACTGGCAGGATGTTATAGTAGACAATTTTTTGAACTATGCTTAGATTGGACTGCAGGTAGCACAGTTCCAGATTGTCCAAACCCAAAATTTCAAGCCTGGAGGCATAGGAAATTCTATTGTGAGTAGAGGAGTAGAGTACCTTTCTTGAGAAATACCTCTGAACCCACTCAATTGTGTTAATGTCCAATATACAGTGTAGGTTCCATGTGGACGAGCTGTATTCGAGAATTGGTCTGGTTTTTCACACACATTTGTTTAGAAAAGGCTCTCATAGTAGAAGAGGTGAAAGGAAAGAGAGGAGGACAGCCAATAGCAAGGTGGATGAGCTCAGTTATAGTGGTGATGAAGACCTGAAGGACCAAGTTAGGGACATTTGTGGAGAACATTTATATGTGTGGTCACTAAGATTTGATGGCACACAATCTCTCACTCAATCAATTGATTTGTCACCATGCAAGTTATTTCACATTAATTGCATATCCAGTTGCCATACTTGCAAGAGACTTGATAGCCCCAAAGGATGAAGCATTGTAGTGAAATATGTGAAGCTGTTCTCCATGTCTTGAAAGAGTAGAGGCCCCATTCTTTTAATCATCTTTTCTCCTTGTTGGAGAGGCAACATTCTGAAGGGTCATGCTTTAAACACTGTAAAAAACCTACTACTGAAATTTAAACATATGTTGTAACCCACTGTATCTATTTCACACAATTATGAGTTCCGTGTTGCTTTCCTTTTCCCCATAGTATACTGATTTCCTTTCTGGAAAATGTGAACCAGTTTTAAATTAATTATGTTTAAACTATAAGGCTACTAACATGTAAACAGATCAGAGCCCTCCTCCCACAATTATTCATGATTTTGGGAACATGTAAAAAAGAATATCTAAGAGAGATAAAGCACTTTTTGGATTCAAAGTCATATATAAATTATTGGGATAGTAAAAGAAAGGAATGAAGTTACCTAAGTATTGCGTTAGTATGCAATACTAATGGAGAAATGATAGGATAAGGCTTTCATGTGGGTCACTTTAGGACGGGGGTCTCCAACCTTGGCAACTTTAAGACTTGAGGACTTCAACTCCCAGAACTCCTCAGCCAGCTGGCTGAAGAATTCTGGGAGTTGAACACCACAAGTCTTAAAGTTGCCAAGGTTGGAGACCTCTGCTTTAAGACATCTGACTGTTTCCCCATTTTTCCAATTCCCAAACTTTCATAGGAATATTTACTAGACAATATTTTAACAAAAGAAGTATAGGATGATTTAGAATTGGAACAAAAACTAAAGTCAGAATGAGAAAATTGCTTACTTGGGAAACAAAAGAAAAGGGGAAAAAAATCTATTGGCATGCTTTTTTTAAAACTGAGATTTTACTGAGACCTCGCGATTCAAACAGCGGCTTATTTTCTTAAAATATTTGTTTAGAAGATTTAATTAATATATTTGGCATGCCTTGACTATTAACATAAGACATAAAAAAAATCTCAAGCAAAAGCCATGCATGGAAAGAGAGATTTAGACATTGTCAATTTATTTACAAAGTCTGCATTATTACTATTAATCTTCTCATCACTCCTTATCAGTCATCCCCTCACACTTGTGACTGTATGACTGTAACTTTGTCGCTTGTATCCTTACGATCTATATGGACTGTTTTCTAGTGTGATTTGATTGCTTATTGTACCTTATGACTATTATTAAGTGTTGTACCTTATGATTCTTGACTCTTGATTAATGTATCTTTTCTTTTATGTACACTGAGAGCATTTGCACCAAGACAAATCCTCGTGTGTCCAATCACACTTGGCCAATAAAGAATTCTATTCTATTGTTTATGCTCTTCCATTATTTTACCTGCATGTTTTATCTTCGTTTATCATATCTATCAGGAAACTAGGTCTCCCAAGAACAGCTGTTGCACTACTTGCACAGGTGCAGCCTCATGAGCCTGGGCAGGATTGTGCTGATACAACTAAGATGTAGATATGATCCTTTTCCAATAGTTGATTTATATGCATGGTGTTATGTGCATGGTGTTACATGAATATGTAATTTAATTTATGTACATGTAATTTACGGAGTGCTCACAAGACTACATAATCAAACTTGACTAGGTTGAGGGTGTTTTTCCTAATTCCTCTTTTGCTCACATCATTGTTTTTAAAAACATCCCAGAATAAAGCAATGGCAACTCATTTCCTTTCCACCTTGTTGCCAACACAACTACATGGATGTGACCACGAAGTCCCCAAGAGTCAACCTTGACCCGAAGAAGACCTTACTTATTATGTAAATATAACTAGGATAGTAAGGTAATCATTTATTTTATAAAAGTCTCATCCAGTCTTTCAAAGCATTGCTCCTCTTCTCTCTCATGACAAGTGTTGCACTCATGTTGTGAACATCAACCATACCTTCCCTGGGGCTTTTAAGTAATGGAGAAATGGTCCTATCCATTCAAGTGGATTCCATTACATATGATCTGGGCATTCTTGAGCAATTTTGAAATGGGGCTCTACATCAGAGATACAACTTCCTACTGATTTCTGGAAAGAAAACCAACTTCTATTCCTTTGGGTAGGCATAATCTATTTTAAAGGCCAAAAAATGCCCTTTTGCGAAAGTTACAGGCATCCCAAGTGATGTACTGTCTTTTTTCATGATGTCACCATGTCACTGGGCCTTTGGATCCCCAAAATATAGGGAAAACATTTGCAAATCCTTGACAGAATAAAAATGTCCATGCCACTCTCTGATGCCCTTGTTCTAAAGTTGAGAAGCAAACTAAGATAAACATACTCCATTTGAAACTTGCGCTGTGCCTTCTCCACCTTCTCCTTGTTTCAGGTTTTGGTGTATCTTGCACAATTACATTATGAGAACTGAGAAATGTATGGAGTATATATATTGAGCTGAAATATTCAAGAGATGAGTAGGTTTCAATCTGACATCCAAAGCTGGGCAATCATATCCAAAAATAATCTGAAGGCCCTTCTTTGTGCCCAATCCTGTGCAGTCATTCATTTTGTACAGGTGAGGGTTCAAAAGGTATTTAGGAAAAGGAAACATATGGAAGTTTCATCATCTCTCTATTCTCCACAGCTCTAAGAACCTTTGCATATTGAGCATAAAGAACTGAAGGGCTGATAAATAAGCATAGGCAGAACTCCTGAAAACAGGGAAGTTTGCAAATATGAAGGACCAATGCCACGATGTTTGAATTAAGACTTCAATGAATGAACCTGATGCAGAATCAGGGCAGATAACATATGCACATGTATACACCTCCCCATGGCCTTTGATAGAAACTTCACAGCTTCATAGCTTTTGGGGGAAGTGAGAGTACACACAAACAGCACAGTTCATGAATTCACAATAGCAAAACTCACCTTGCAGGATCAACTTAGTATAATTAAATATTCATCATGACAGAGAGTTCTGCTCTCTCTCTCTCTCTCTCTCTCTCTCTTCATAACTATGTATATACTTATACCTATTATCTTGTAAATGATTGATAAATCAAATAAATAAATAAAAATAAATACACTGCCTAAAAAGGAAGGGCAAAATGTCTGAAATTCTAGCACAATTAGTGCAGTTTATTGCAATTGCCTTTAATCACTCCTTGTACATCTCTCCCTCTCCCTCCCTCCCTCCCTCTGTTTCTCTCCCTCCCTCCCTCTCCCTCCTTCCTCACTCCCTCTCCCCAACCCTCTCTCTCCCTCCCCCCTCTCTCTGTGCAAATGTTTAAGCTAAAAGATTTACCAAAGCACTTTAATAGTAATGATGTTTTCCTTTGGTATTATCTATTGTCCACATGCTACAAAAATGTCATATATATTTTTTGCATTCTTATCCTTTCAAGTGGAGAACACACGTGCTGGGAAGGAAAGGAAACTTTGCTCCTGAGATTTAAGAAACAGAAATACAAAAATAAAGACTTCAGCATTATAGGAAGCTGGGGACACACATCAATTATTATTTACCTTCACAGGTAAATAATAATTATCAAAAGATTTATAATTGAGAGTCCTTATGCTCTGTTGATTGTCTTGTCTTCTTGCCCCTGATTTTACACAGACAGCAATAAAGGTTACATGAAGCGGTTGAGAATGCTCTGAATCTAGAAACAATGTATATCTGTAGAGTTTCTTACAGATGTTATAGCCCTGTCATGAATTAAGGAGATTAAATTACAAGAGTTTTCCATGTGGACCTAAGGAGTCTTGTCCTTTCAAAGCAGCACGAATGACAGGGTTACTGGAAATAAGCACATGATACTTACCCTTCTTCTATCCGGACCCATAGATCATTGAATTGCCTTTGGCGGTGGATTTTATATTGTTTCTTGTGCCAGTTTTTCTGCCGTCCAAATTCTTCTAGCTGGCTGATGCTATCTGGTAACAGGAGGTGTGGAGGAAGGCTATCTTCTTCATTGGCAGGAGGAGGTGCTGAAGACGAAGACAACCGTACATGCTCAATGACAAGGGGGGCAGCTGTTGCAGAAGAAGGGTGATATCTGCTTGCCTTGGGACTGCAAAATAAGTTGATTTGTCAAGAAGTGATGTGTGAAATAGGATAGAGAAATTCAGATATTAAACACAACCTCTGCTCTTCCAAGCTTTATTTAGCTTTATTGCATCAAAGACACTTATACCATGAGTTTTCCTCCTTACTGTACCTATAATCAACATAGATACATATTAATTCAAAGTTTAAGAGACTACAGAACAGGCAGTGCATTCATCCAAGGAAATGTGGACAGATAATGATACTTGAAATGTTCCCATACAGTGGCCATGATAAAGGCAAAGAGTCACACCTGAAGATTTTACTGTCAGTTGGTATTCTCCATATACCCCAAAGGAGTATAGCTTTCATTCATCATGACTTCAATCTTAGTACAATGGAAATGCGTGTACAATGTATTAGTAAGCATTTTAATATCATAAATTGCTTCATGATATTAAAAAACATACTTAAGCATACAGGTAGTCCTTGACTCACAACCATTCATTTAGTGACTGTTTGAACTTACAAAGGCACTCAAAAATGTGACAACCGTTCCTTGCAGTTAAGACTATGACAGCATCCCCAAGATCAAAATTTGGGCACTTGGCAACCACTATGTATGTATGACAGTTACTATGTCCTGCATTCATATGACCATTATTTGTGACTTTCCCAGGCATCTTCTGAGAAGCAAAGTCAATGGGAGATGTCAAACTCACTTAACGACCACAGGAGTCACTTAATTGAAGTGATTCCCTTAAGAATTATTAAAACAACTTGTAAAATTGGACATGACTCACTTAATAACCGCCACTTAACAACCAAAATTCTGGACTCAACTGACCAGAACTAACTTGAGGACTACCAGTAATGAGTTCTTTCCTCACTTACATTCAAATATCGACAATATAAGCATTGTATTTAGATAATAAATAATGAACTTTAAGATACTCTTTTGAAGCCATTATCTTCCATAGATACTGGGCCACTGCCAGCATTCCTTGATAGAAGTATAATTTTTATTTTGATAGCAAGATTTTTTTTCTCTCCTTTTTTTTTAAAGAGAGGGCAGTTTATATTACAATGAGAAATTCTTTTTATTGCCATGAACTCACAAAAGTGTTATTTTGAGACTATATGTATACATAGGGAATTCTTTTCAACATAATTTGACACAAATTGTGAATTGCATGGGCTTCTTTAAGTACTTATTTGCCTCTGCTTCACTCTGTTTCTTTTCAGTAGATATGTTTTGTCTTGTCTTTGAAAATACTAATTTACTGGCAGTTTTGTAAATATATCCTGAGCTGCATTACCTTATTAGATGAGAAATGGACAAGAAATATAAAGCAGCCACTTAAACCATAGTGTATTAGGGTCAACCTATAAGTTTAATATGTAATTATTCTGCACTTTTGTGCTTTGATTCCTGCAATATTCAGGAACAAGTAAAAATTAATTACATTGGATATAATAATGATATGGCTAGCCAACTTCTACACAAGATACAACAGTCTTGAACTTGAATAGAACTACCGCTTTTCATCAGGTGTTTTTATAGATTTATAGATTTGAATGGATGTATATGTATCTATACTTACATATTTAGATAAAGGACTTTGAAGAAGCAGGATAAAAAGAGCATTGATGCTTTTGAACTTTAGTGTTGGACAATACCACGATAGACAAGAAAACAAACAAATCAATCACTGAACAACTGAACCCAGAGTTCTAATTATGCCAAGACCTAGCTCTCTAGCAAATGCTGTAATATTAACAAAGGTAGAGAAAGAGAATAGGAAGACCAGCAGTAAAGTGGATGGGCTCAGTTACAGTTGTGATAGATGTACTGTTGGAAGAATGAAGGGCTACTGGAAACATATATGATACTCCTAGAAAAAAAAATCTACAACTAAGAGTTAACACTATATGATGTCCGTCTGCCTGTCTCACTCTCTCTTCATCATAATCATCCTTTTTTAAATGACCCCATAATTCCTTGCAAGGTGAAGTCTGGGCAACTGAATGGAGCTGGCTAGATGCCCTTCCTGTCACCAATGAGGAGTTTTTTTTTGCAGCAGATATATTCTCAGTGTGCCCAGAGAGAGAAATATATGCCCCTATCTAAGATTGAACTCACAGTCTCCTGATTGTGAGGCAAGAGCTCCACCTCTAGACCGCCTCACTACCTACCTACGTACCTACCTATCTATTATCTATCTATCTATCTATCTATCTATCTATCTATCTATCTATCTAT